GAACTCAAAAACCACTGGGGGAATTGACACCAAATTTGGACACAAGACACCTAACAACCCAATGTACGTCCTCCACTCAAAAAAATTGATTTTGCCATTTGGGAATTGTTGTTGCTGGGATTTATAGTTCACCTACAATCAAAGAGCATTCTGAACTCCACCAATGATGGAATTGGGCCAAACTTAGCACACAGGGCTCCCATGACCAACAGAAAAAACTGGAAAGGGTTTGGTGGACATTGACCTTGAGTTTGGGAACTTTAGTTCACCCACATCCAGAGAGCACTGTGGACTCAAACAATGATGGATCTGGACCAAACTTGGCACGAATATTCCATATGCCCAAATAGGAACACAGATGGAGTTTAAGGGAAATAGACCTTGCCATTTGGGAGTTGTAGTTGCTGGGATTTATAGTTCACCTAGAATTAAAGAGCATTCTGAAACCCACAAACGACAGAAATGGGGCAAACTTCCCACACAGAACCCCCATGACCAAGAGAAAATACTTAAGGCCATCCAGTCCAACTCTCTACACCAAGGCAAGAAAATGTCATCAGAGCCCTCCTGACAAAGAGCCATCCAGTCATAAATAGAGATAGATAGATATGATTCTATCTCACACACACAGATATAGTATCATAGTTTTGAAAGAGTCCCTTAAAGAAGGACAATGATATGTTGCATATTCCAGAGTAGACAAACCAGACACTCTCCCCATCAACACTGACAAAGAAACAACAAGAAATACTGTTTACCCACAAGCATAAAAGACATGACGTATATTAGAAACCAACACTTTCTCATTACTTTATTTTCCAGATCACCAGACTGGGCCACAACAACGCGTGGCAGGGGACAGCTAATAATAATAATAATAATAATAATAATAATAATAATAATAATAATAATAGGGCGGGATTAAATGAACCAATGGATGGCATCAAACCAAGGGATGGCAAAGTGGGCCCATTTGTTTTAAAGACGCAAATAGACATCTATTGGGTTGGGTTGCGGTGAGTTTTCCGGGCTGTATGGCCATGTTCCAGAAGCATTCTCTCCTGACATGGTCACTTCTTGGGCTAGTAGGTGTCTTGAGTCCAAAATTGGTGGCAATTCATCCAGTGGTTTTTGAGTTATGTTAATCCCACAAATGAATATTACATTTTTATTTATATAGACTAGCCGTTCCCTGCCACGCGTTGCTGTGGCCCAGTCTGTGTATATGTGTTTTGTGTGTGTGTGTGTGTATATGTGTGTGTGTGTGTGTGTGTGTGTGTGTCGGGGGGGTATGTGTTGGTGTATATATGTGTGTGCATATGTGTGTGTAGATGTGTATATATGTGTGTATATATTTGTGTGTTTATAAGTGCATATGTATATTGTGTATATGTGTGTGCTTGTCTTTATGCATATTTGTGTTTATATATGTGTACGTATCAGTTCATGTGTATATTTGTGTGGGCATGTGTATATTACATATGTGTGTATGTCGATGTATGTGTGTGTATATTTTTGTGTGCTTGGGTATATATATATGTGTATATATGTGTGCAGGTGTATATGTATATGAGTGTGTATATGTATATGAGTGCGTGTGTGAGTATGGTGTACTTTGGGGGGTTATAAGTCCGTTCTGCTGAGGGTTTTTTTTTTTTTTTTGTATTTTTAGGGGTGATGAATACTCATTGGACTGTTAGGTGTATTGTTTCAAAATTTGGTGTCAATTCGTCCAGTGGTTTCTGAGTTATGTTAATCCCACAAACGAACATTACATTTTTATTTATATACTAGCTGTCCCCTGCCACGTGTTGCTGTGGCCCACATGGGGGTTCTGTGAGGGAGGTTTGGCCCAATTCTATCGTTGGTGGTGTTCAGAATGCTCTGTGATTGTAGATGAACTACAAATCCCAGTAATGACAACTCCCAAATGTCAGGGTCTATTTCCCCCAAACTCCATCTGTGTTCATATTTGGGCATATTGAATATTTGTGCCAAGTTTGGTCCAGATCCATCATTGTTTGAGTCCACAGGGCTCTCTGGAGGTAGGTGAACTACAGCTCCCAAACTCAAGGTCAATGCCCACCAAACCCTTCTAGTGTTTTCTGTTGGTCATGGGAGTCCTGTATGCTTAGTTTGGTCCAATGCCATAATTGGTGGAGTTCAGAATGCTTTTTGAGTGTAGGTGAACTATAAATCCCAGCAACTACAACTCCCAAATGACAAAATCATAAATTTTTGAGTGAAGGTCACTCCTTGTGTAGTGAGATGTTTTGCTGCCAAATTTGGTGTGATTTCGTTCATTGGTTCTTTTGTTTTTAAGGTACTCACGACGACAAGACCATTTATATATATATAGATTGTCCTCCCCACCTTGTTATATGCCTGTGAGATGTGGACGGTCTAGAGATGTCACATGCAACTCCTGGCAGCCACAAGCCACTCTAAACACCTTTGCAGAAGCATACGAGAAGCTCGGCCTGTCATGCTCATTATGCACAGAGCATTTATATATATATAAACTTTTAAGCCTTTCTGAGTTCCCTTTGGGGTGAGAAGGGCGGCACATAAATGTCGCAAATAAATAAAATAAATAAATATCCATCAGTGGACCACTGGTGTGGCATTAGACACTCTCCTCTCTCTGTGGACCTTCAGATCGATGGACATGGCTGGAAAGCCCTGGAAGAAGCCCACAATGAAGCAGGTAGCAAGAAGCACCCAATGGTTGACTCACCGTTCTCCTTCCTCAGCCGGGAAATAAACTTCTTGGGAGGGATGACGCCCACCTTCTTCTTCTGGGTGGCGATGCTGTTGAAGAGGTCCGAGAGGCAGGTCAGGAGGCTCTCCTTCTTGCGGGGCTGAACCTTGTAGGCCAGGACCTTCTCCCGAAAGGGGCGGCAGAAGTACAGCGCCTGGAGGACCGAGTTGCAGTAGCAGGTGTTGCCAAACTGGAGAAAGAGGAGAGCGTTAGGAACAAAACAAGTGGGAAGAAGGAGAGAGGGGAGGAAGGGTATTAAAGAACCCGGGCGCATGACCTCATGGAAGGAACAAAACTGTTAGCTCAACGTTAAGGTCTTCCCTTGACATGAAGTCCAGGGGTGTGGTGCTCATCTCAGACTTGGCCACAACTTACTTTACTTATGCGATCTCTCGTTTTCCAAGGATGATTGTCTTCCAATA